TTGCCAATCAAGTGATGGATCGCAAACTGTTTCGTCCCACAACGCTTAGCGGGAGAAGTGGAAAGTGGTGATGATGATGAGCAATTTATTGCGAAGCGTGCAGTCTGCAAACTTGCGACTCTGATTCCCTGCAAATACGGGCTTCTCGCTCCCTCATCACGTTTTTCTCATTTTAATAGTGTGACAGACAGATAACAAGATAGACAGACAGACCACAATACGCGGATATAGATAGAAGGACACACACACACACACACACACACACACACACACACAGAGACGGTGGGCTGGTGGGTTGGTAGTTAGGTGGGTATGTATGTAGATAGGAAGATAGTGGGTTGGTCAGTAGGTGAGTAGACATGCAGGTAGGTAGGTATGTGTGTGTATGTGTGTGTGTATGTGTGTGTGTGTGTGTGTGAATAAAGGTATGTTTACTGTTAGATATTTAAATGAGAAGTAGTTAGGAAGGAAGGTAGGTAGGTAGGTATGTAGGTAGGTAGGTAGGTAGGTAGGTAGGTAGGTAGGAGTAACAGTATTTGCAAGTAAGTAGATAGGTAGGTAGTGGGTGGGTCGGTAGGTGAGGAGACACGCAGGTAGGTATATGTGTATGTGAATAACGGTATGTTTACTGTTGGGTATTAAGATGAGAAGTAGTTAGGTAGGTAGGCACACACAAAAAAACAGTATTTTAAAGTAGATAGGTAGGAAGGTAGTTAGCTATCTAGGCAGATATGCAGGTAAGTAGAAGTATAAAAGGGTGTATGTATAGGTAGGTAAGTAGGTAAGGGAGTTAGCAAGCATTCAGGTACGTAGATAGATAAGTAGGTAGATAGATATTTAGAAAGATAGGTATGTAAGTGGTTATTTGGATGGGATAGTGTTCAGGCAGGTATCTAGGTAGATAAGAAGGTAAGTAGATACACAGGTAGAAGGTGGCTTGGCATGTATTTATGCACTTAGGTAGAAGATTAGTGGATATGTATTTAGGTAGATAGGTAGGTAAGTAGACACTAAGATAGAAGGTGAGTAGACAGGTTGTTTAGATAGGTAGGTAAGTAGACACTGAGATAGAAGGTGAGTAGACAGGTTGTTTAGATAGGTAGGTAAGTAGACACTAAGATAGAAGGTGAGTAGACAGGTAGGTAAGTAGACACTAAGATAGAAGGTGAGTAGACAGGTTGTTTAGATAGGTAGGTAAGTAGACACTAAGATAAAAGGTGAGTAGACAGGTTGTTTAGATAGGTAGGTAAGTAGACACTAAGATAGAAGTTGAGTAGACAGGTTGTTTAGATAGGTAGGTAAGTAGACACTAAGATAGAAAGTGAGTAGACAGGTAGGTAAGTAGACACTAAGATAGAAGGTGAGTAGACAGGCTGTTTAGCTAGGTAGGTAAGTAGACACTAAGATAGAAGTTGAGTAGACAGGTTGTTTAGATAGCTAGGTAAGTAGACACTAAGATAGAAAGTGAGTAGACAGGTAGGTAAGTAGACACTAAGATAGAAGTTGAGTAGACAGGTTGTTTAGATAGGTAGGTAAGTAGACACTAAGATAGAAAGTGAGTAGACAGGTAGGTAAGTAGACACTAAGATAGAAGGTGAGTAGACAGGCTGTTTAGCTAGGTAGGTAAGTAGACACTAAGATATAAGTTGAGTAGACAGGTTGTTTAGATAGGTAGGTAAGTAGACACTAAGATAGAAAGTGAGTAGACAGGTAGGTAAGTAGACACTAAGATAGAAGGTGAGTAGACAGGTTGTTAGACAGAAAGGTAGGTAAGTAGATGCTCAAGTAGAAAAGTGGGTAATAATTACATATCATACCAGTCTGTACAATAAAATGACCAGAAACTTCTTTCTTGAAGTAATAACTGCTGTAAATAGGTTCACATAATCACCACAATCAACGACAAGACACGCCGATTTAATTGTGTTGACAGAAGACCAGACAGGGAAGATGTTGATAAGACTACAACATGCTGACACACAAGCCTACAACTACTGCCTACGGACAGTATCGACTGCCAGCTGGGGGTTATTTCCCCAGTGATGATAATGAGCGTGTCAAGTTCTGCACATGTCAGCGACAGCAGTGCAGTGTCTAGACGCTTGTCTGCCGGCCGGAAGGTCTATGTTCCAGTCCGCACCAGGGGGATTTAACAACAAAAATATAACTTGGCTCCAGGGTCGACCCAGTTTAAATTTGGTACCAGGTTATGTTCTGGGAAGTAAAGACGGTCAGCGGGATGTTGTTGACCTCAACCATCCAGTGCCAGTTGGTCTATGATCTCATGTCTGCTAAGGGTTTTTTACTTTACTGAATAGTTTTGCACTATGTTGATATTAGGATTATATATGTTTTTATATGCGTTATTGTTTCTCTGTAAGTTTTTAAAATAAGACCTCACAAATCTGGCATACCTTGCTAGATCAGCAATGTTTTAGATCAATCAGTTCTTGATGTGTGGTGTGGTTAGCACAAAGCAATCAGTACTTTCTTTTTTAGTTAGCCCAAAAACATCACGATGGCGTCAGGGAACAGTCAACAAATTTCGAGGGTGGTGAGATTGAGCTGAGCGTTCCAGTTGTGTCTCTTCCAAGACCTTGCCCAGTTTTTTCAAGGCCAAATATGGAAAATGCCAAAAATTAGTAAGTGGACTATTGGTCTAATGGAAAATACGTCGTCTGTGGAGTCAAAGATTGAGAATGAGAATGAAAATGTATTTTTTTTTTTAATTTTAGATGTATTACTTCTTGTTAACTTTTTAATTCACAACCGTCCTCCCACTCAGAGAGATGGAGAAAAACAGCTGCCAGCATTTTGGCCACCAGGTCAAAAGTCTGTCCTCTCTCCGCATTCCGATGTTTCTCCAGATCTACTAACGAGTTAAACTGTTGTGATTGTTCATTCATGGGAGAACCTAGCAGTGTACATCTGACTGCCCTCCGAATGCTCATAGAGTTTCACACACACAAACAAATTGCAAAACAGCATCCTCAAATAAAAAAAAAAAAAAAAAACGTTTACAAGGTGCCGGCGATATCGAGTGTTCTATAGTCCATAATATGAGCGCTTTTAATGACCCCAAAACATCTACAACTAGCCCTAAACCAAACCCACCTACGTCCCACGACTATATGTAGCCTAGATCCCACGACTGTATGCAGCTTAGGTCCCCCGACTGTATGCAAATTGGTCCCCCGACTGTAAGCAGCATAGGTCCCCCGACTGTATGCAGCCTAGGTCAAACGTCTGTATGCAGCCTAGATCCCACGACTGTATGCAACCTAGATCCCGCGACTGTATGCAGCCTAGGTCCCACGACTGTATGCAGCCTAGGTCCCACGACTGTATGCAGCTTAGGTCCCCCGACTGTAAGCAGCATAGGTCCCACGACTGTATGCTGCCTAGGTCCCACGACTGTATGCAGCCTAGATCCCACGACTGTATGCAGCCTAGGTCCCACGACTGTATGCAGCCTAGGTCCCACGACTGTATGCAGCCTAGATCCCACGACTGTATGCAGCCTAGGTCCCCCGACTGTATGCAGCCTAGGTCCCCCGACTGTATGCAGCCTAGGTCCCACGACTGTATGCAGCCTAGATCCCACGACTGTATGCGGCCTAGGTCCCCCGACTGTATGCAGCTTAGGTCCCCCGACTGTATGCAGCCTAGATCCCACGACTGTAAGCAGCCTAGGTCCCACGACTGTATGCAGCTTAGGTCCCCCGACTGTATGCAGCCTAGGTCCCACGACTGTATGCAGCTTAGGTCCCACGACTGTATGCAGCCTAGATCCCACGACTGTAAGCAGCCTAGGTCCCACGACTGTATGCAGCCTATGTCCCACGACTGTATGCAGCCTAGATCCCACGACTGTATGCAGCCTAGATCCCACGACTGTATGCAGCCTAGGTCCCACGACTGTATGCAGCCTAGATCCCACGATTGTATGCAGCCTAGGTCCCACGACTGTATGCAGCCTAGGTCCAACGACTATGCAGCCTAGGTCCTACTACCTAGCAAACAAACAAGAAAACACCCACCTAAAACCGCATGGTAAATGAACTGTCAAAATACTAACTATAAGCACCTCATGAAAAAGTCGACTCTCCCGTCAGCTGTTGATTTTCCTTGTATTTCCCGTGTTGGGAGTAACTAAAAAAGAAAGTACCAAGCAATCTCCTGTACAAATGTGTCAGGGTTTGTGAGTTGCTTTACTCTGTCATCGCTTATTATTATTATTTTTAACCTGTTTTCTGCCTGCTTCGTTCTACACTGTATCTGTGACTGTGTTTTGTTCTTCTTTTTCATCCTTCCGTTCTGTCCCATCTGGACAGCTAACCGGAGGTTAAACCATCGTGAAATTACCAACTCTCAGTATACATGGCAAGCTACCGGGACAAATTCCACATATCCCCTTCAACCTTCGTTAGGAACAAATGTAATGGATCGTGTTGCGTGTAGAGGGCACACGAGGAAGGGAATGAGAATGAAGGAAGAAATGGAAGGATGCGAGCTCAGCATCTGAGAAGAAACAGACTAAACACTAAGGTTGACATAATCGCTCCTGGAATGGCATGCTATAAATGTAAAAGACTTTCCTTAATACAACATATACTGCTATAGTGTTTTTTTTTTTTTTAGATACCGTTTTTTTTTTTCAATTTAAAGCTTTGTTCACAATCGACTCTACTGGTTGAATTGCTAACATTATCAGGACGAAGCACTTGAGTATCCGGAAAGAATATCATAAATTGTTGAACAACCACATTCGAATACTTGCCATCGTTAAGGAACACATGCTCAGCCAAAAATACTCTTTCTTCAATAGTTAACACTATTATGGCTATGATCAGTTATCAAAACACCGATATATAGCAGATATTCTAAACTAACAGTTACATGGCGCCTGAAACATGACGTAACACACAAACATTCAACTGCGGTTCACACATAACTGATTTCAGACAGTCTATAGTCTTTAAATATGCACCCTATAGAACTGATTGTAGCGTGTTCCACATGTGATTAACAGTACAGCCGCAACATAAATCGTACACTTACCTGCAACTGGGACAGGTACCCTGAAAGACGGTGGAACTGTCATCATCCGTTTGATACCGTCTGGCACTGATTTGAGCGGCACCGTCTCTATGCGCACCGTGCGGCACTGTCCCCGCGTCTCCATCCACTGGCAGACTTGTAGTCGGGTGTTGTTCAAAGTGAAGTAGTGTCCGTCCTTCTCTACAACCTGGGAACCAGAACAATAATAGTGTCAATCTTTGAAATTGCTAAACCGAGAGAGGGTGGACTTCATTGCATCCGGTTTAATGCTATAAGGCTCAGTCTTTATCTGCAAAGTGGCTGTTCAGACTTCATAAGCGTCACAAAAAGAATGAAATTCTAACTTCCAGCTACGCTTCCCATGGGATTAAAACACTGAAAGACCAATTGCCTAACCATTTCGCCACGAATCTTATCATGCCGTTGGCGTTCTAGACCCATATTTCTATAAGCATCTCGGTCGGTTGGTGGTGCCGTCAACATTACGTAGGTCGATTTTTCTTTTCTGGGATTCATATTAAACTAGATGAACCAGGAACTGACATCAATTATAAACACATCTCTCGATAATGATTAAAATCCAAAACCTTCGGGTTGGCATGCAAGCATCTATTAACATTCTGAAAGAAAGTGTTGAAAGCATTAGAATAAGATGCAGTTTCTGTGTGGTCCGCTCCTCGGGAAGTTAACAGTGAGCGCATGAGATAAATGATCCCTTTGCTGTTCCCACAAGCAGTCTCACAAAGGAGGCTATGTGTATAACCTAGACATTGACAAGGTTGCATAATAGAGTCCACACTTGCGTGCAAACTCTATGAACATGTTCAGGGAAATCCAGGCAGTTTAATAGATCTGGCTTATTTGTATGCAGACTGCTGGTTCCTTGCCTTTCATGCAGATTCTCCAAATAAATCGACTCTTACAACACTCTTTTGGTCAGTCAGTGTGTCTTTTTTCTCCCCCACAATATGGCCCCGGAACCCACACGGGGAACTACTGATCTGTATGACTGTATGATTGCGTTATCCGTTTATTGTTTATTTGCGGATTCCTGTCCCCTGTGATGCGGTTATCACTTCAACTCCTCCTATCCCATAATTCTGGGGTGCACAAAAGACACATCTTGCATAGCAATTGAGATATCTTCTTGACTTTCCGACAAAACACCTTAGGATGAAGATCTGGAGGACTCTTGTATACCTGAAGGTAGGCTCGGATTTAAAGCACTCTCTGCACAATCTCGACAGAGGACGATATCATGCAGGTTTGCAGGCTTACAGACATCCACCTCGGCAAAGAATGGATATCTGTGCTCCAAGTGCTCAACTGCGCCTTTTCCTGTGTTGTCACGCTTGATATGATCTGTCTGGAGCAGAATCCAGTTGCTGTCAATGCAGACGTCCACGCGCTTATATGCGAAAATTCAGATGAGGCGGATGTACTGATCTACACAGATGGGTCCGTTTTACAAAGACAGAAAAAGACAGCATTTACTGTGTGCTGTGCAGGTAGAACAATCCAGGAGGCAAGTGGTGCCTTCGGTGTGACTACTAGCAGCATGCAAATGGAGGTAATGGAGTTAACACGAGCTTTCATGTAGCTAGCATCGAAGCGATAATCTCACGAGTGTGTGCTGAGTGATTCCATGAGCATGATCCGGCGGGTTGAGGCCGGCTTTGTACGCAGACAGTGGATGGAGTTATTGCAAAACTCCACAGTCACAGTACGTAAAGTTACCTTCACCAGGTCATGCGGGTGTTGTTGGCAATGAAAGAGCAGACAGATTAGCCGGCGCTGCCTTGGTTAGAGAAGGCTGGCTCATGGATTATGCAGACATTGATAATGCCATTAGAGAGGTAGGACGTTCGGCGGATTTTGGGAGCAGCACTTTCACATTTATGCTAACTGGGAGTAAAGATCGACACAGCCAGGCACGAGAAGCACACCGGACGCATGAGAAATCCAATATAGGACTGGGACTATCAACCACTGGATGCTGATGTATATGTTGAAGGGGAAATCTGAGCACCTACGTATCCTGAGGGCCGTGACGATAACCCAAATCATAACTCATAACACAAGAAAAAATTTAATGAATGAAGGTAAGCAGTCTCGCCCTCTCACCTGTAATCGCAGACCTTCAGAGTTGGCCAACAGTTTTTTGGACAGTTCCTCGAGTTCAGCGTCACTTGCCAGAGCTTCGAGACTGGGAGCTCCAGGGCAGTTTGTGTAGAGAACGGTAGATGGCGCCACAAACATGGTCGTGTTATTCCTTGCTGCTGGAACTGTTTTACCTAATGAATTACAAGAAGATAAATGACGAATGTGAGGGAGAAAAAAAACGTTCTTTCTCATTAGCCGACCACAAGCAGGAGAAATCCACATGTCACAGGACACACCAAACTTTTTATGGGGTGGTAGTTTAAGCGTATAGTTTTGTAATTTGGCATTTCATTTGTTGCGCAGTTTTGTGCTATGCAGTTTTTCAGTTGTGTGTGCTTCTGTTTGTGTGTTGTGCAGTTTTTTTTTTTTTTTAGACTCTTATGTGCAATCGGGAAAATGCAGTTTGTGTGTGTTTTTTTTTTTCTTTTGGGAGAGGGGGGGGGGGGTGCGGGAAGAGGATTAAGTTTTGCAGTTTTTGTGTGTGAACTCTATGTGCAGTCAGCAGGATACCTTGCCAACTGTGGCATTCTAGGCGTGGCCCTTAGAAGGCCCAATCATTGTATATGTAAACTGCTGACTTGAAAAAATGACAATCAAAATAATTGTACACGTTCAATTCAGTGTATCGGTTTATTATATTGGTAATTATAGCCTTCTGGAACTTTAAGTATGACATGGACATAGCGTGTTATAGGCTGCACACAGTTGTGGTATCTAGGCTGCACACAGTTGTGGTACCTAGGCTGCACACAGTCGTGGGACCTAGGCTGCACACAGTCGTGGGACCTAGGCTGCACACAGTCGTGGGACCTGGGCTGCATACAGTTATGGGACCTAGGCTGCATGCAGTTGTGGGACCTAGGCTTCATGCAGTCGTGGGATTTAGGCTGCATGCAGTCATGGGACCTAGGTTGCATGCAGTCGTGGGACCTAGGTTGCATACAGTTGTGGTACCTAGGTTGCATGCAATCGTGGGACCTAGGCTGCATGCAGTCGTGGGACCTAGGTTGCATGCAGTCGTGGGACCTAGGCTGCATGCAGTCGTGGGACCTAGGCTGCATGCAATTGTGGGACCTAGGCTGCATGCAGTTGTGGGACCTAGGCTGCATGCAGTTGTGGGACCTAGGCTGCATGCAGTTGTGGGACCTAGGCTGTATGCAATTCTGGGACCTAGGCTGCATGCAGTTGTGGGACCTAGGCTGCATGCAGTTGTGGGACCTAGGCTGCATGCAGTTGTGGGACCTAGGCTGAATGCAATTGTGGGGACCTAGGTTGCATTCATTCGTGTGACCTAGGCTGCATGCAATTGTGGGACCTAGGCTGCATGCAGTCGTGGGACCTAGGCTGCATGCAATTGTGGGGACCTAGGTTGCATGCAGTCGTGGGACCTAGGCTGCATGCAATTGTGGGACCTAGGCTGCATGCAGTTGTGGGACCTAGGCTGCATGCAGTAGTGGGATCTAGGCTTTATGCAGTCGTGGGACCTAGGCTTCATGCAGTCGTGGTACCTAGGCTGCACACAGTTGTGGGAACTAGGCTGCATGCAGTCGTGGGACCTAGGCTGCATGCAGTCGTGGGACCTAAGCTGCAAACTCTTGTGAAACGTAGATGGGTTGGTCTTAGGGCCAGTTCTAGATGTTTTGGGGTTGGAGCTTACAGTCAAAACAATTTTACACGTTAGTAGATCAAGAGAGATTTTGTAATGCGGCAACTGGTGCGGTGGCAGTAGAGACAACAGACTATTGTTCTGGTGACGCAAAATGCCATGATGTTGCAAGAAAGCAACGCTGCTTTTCTTGTCATGTACCATGCTGTCAATTGAAGGAAATTCAGGACGAACATTGAAAAGACGCCGATGCCGGAACATACGCCTGAAAACATTGGCCTTGAAAGAAACCCACGAAAGCACAGAAAGCCGGGAAACCCCGTCCTACCACCCTCAAAATATTGGACTGTCCAGTGACGTCATCTGTGGTCCGCTAATGAAATAGAGCCGGAGAAAAAAATTACACTTTTTGAAGATACAATTTTTGAAAAATGTATCGTAGACTTTGAAAACAGAAAGATAAGGTAGTTACAGAACTATTACTATCGTTTGAATGTGAAGTGTTAGAAGTGTTTCACATTTCAGGCAGCGACATGGGTGTTTTCGATGACCAGTTACCTTCCTCGTTCACTTTTCCTTGCAAGCACTTTCCTGAACATTCTAGAAAAAATTATGTTTCGTCGATGGATTGAATCCTGACTTATATTTCTGTAGGTCTACGGACTGAATCCTGGCTGCCATCTCTGTAGGTCTAGAGATTGAATCTCAGTAAGTCTGTGACTTAACTCTGACTTCTGTATCTGCAGGTCTAGGGACTGAATCCTTACTTCTGTTTTTGTATGTCTAGAGATTGAATCCTGACTTCTATCTCGGTAGGTCTAGATATTGAATCCTGACGTCTATAGCTCATTAGGTCTAAGGATTGAATCCTGACTTCTGTCTCTGTAGGTCTAGGATTGAATCCTGACTTCCATCTCGGTAGGCAAGCACGGCAACGCTGACAAACTAAACCAGAGTTTTGCAAACTGTTCATGCTGCTGTCGCACTCTTCAGACCAACAGAATTTCGCAAAACAGTAATTCAATCCACTCTCAAACCAGGGTTAACAAAACCACTTATAAGAGGCATGGACATATAGAAATATTGTTCAGACGCCTCACTTTCGCGCTACGCACCTTTACATTACAGCCAACGCACTAGAGTGTGGCGACTTATAGGTAGAAGGTCACTGCCCTAAATAATCAGAAAACTGTGTGTACCGGACTTAAAACCTAGCTCCCTCGGATAACGAGCGGAACAATATTTCTGAAGAATCTGTCAAGGCGAAAACATCGACTTCGTTGCACTGTGTTTTATCTCAAATGGCTCTGTCTCTCTCAGCCGTGTTGCTAGAACGCCACGAAGGGGTGTTACACATTTCACGTAACGCTGGATCAATTACCTAAAGTGAGCTCCGAAATACAAACAAAGATGCAATTTGAAAATTTGCCTATGACAATCAGAGCGTGAGACAAATGGCTTGGCTACATCATCACTTTGCCACTTCACCATTTAGCCACTTGACCACTTTGACACTTCACCACTTAGCCACTCTACCACCAAGCCACAGCGCCACCTATCCACTTGACAACTTAGCCAATTCACCACTAAGTCAGTTCACCATTTAGATACTTCACCACTTAGCCACTTCATCACTTCATCACTTAGCTACTTCATCACTTAGCCACTTCATCACTTAGCCACTTCATCACTTAGCCACTCTACCACTTAGACACTTCACCAATTAGCCACTCTACCACTGAGACACTTCGCCGCCTAGCCACATAGCCACTTATCCACTTGACCACTTAGCCACTTCATCACTTAGCCACTTCCTCACTAAGAAACTTCCTCACTTAAATACTTCGCGAAGGTAACTGTGTTTCGTGGTGCAAGCAGCTAGATTCGCCAAAATTATCTAGATGACCCCACTACTTTTTAAAATGCTATAGAGTTGTAATCACTCGCAAGAGTTCTTGGGATGAATTATCCAGCCTGATCTCAGTCTTTCTGCCGTCACTAAGAAACATATATTTTTCACCCACTGACACATTGGGCATATTTCTTTAGAAGTCAGTCATATTATGCTTTTTTTTTTTTTTTGGGGGGGGGGGGGGGGGGTTCTTTATCTATGCATCCATGCTGTTATTTTGTGTGTGTGTCTCCCCGCCCTAACTAAGCAACGCAAGTAATGTGGATATTTATGTGGTATTACCTTATTATGTGAGGTTTCAAATTAGGCTTGTACATGTCAATGCTTTTTTTTTTTTTTTTTTTCTCAAATTTCTTTTATTGTAGTTTATTTATTTAAGTTCTCCTACTCTTTCTTTTCCTCTTTTTTTCTCCCCTGTCTTCTCTTACTTCACCTTTTTTGTCTTCTTCACTTTCTCCCTAGCAAGTTACTTCTTTTCCTCCTTCTTCATATCCTCCTTTTTCTCCTGCTCCTCATTCTTCTCTATAGTCTTTTTCTCCTTTTCTTTTTCTGCCTCCTCCTCTTTTTCTTCTTCTTCTTCTTCTTCTTCTTCTTCTTCTTCTTCTTCTTCTTCTTCTTCTTCTTCTTCTTCTTTTTTATCTGCTTCTGCTTCTGCTGCTTCTTCTTCTTCTTCTTCTTCTTCTTCTTCTTCTTCTTCTTCTTCTTCTTCTTCTTCTTCTTCTTCTTCTTCTTCTTCTTCTTCTTCTTCTTCTTCTTCTTCTTCTTCTTCTTCTTCTTCTTCTTCTTCTTCTTCTTCTTTATCTGCTTCTTCTTCTTCTTCTTCTTCTTCTGCTTCTTCTTCTTCTTCTTCTTTATCTGCTTCTTCTTCTTCTTCTTCTTCTTTATCTGCTTCTTCTTCTTCTTCTTCTTCTTTATCTGCTTCTTCTTCTTCTTCGTCTTCTTCTTCGTCTTCTTTTTCTTCTTCTTCTTCTTCTTCTTCTTCTTCTTCTTCTTCTTCTTCTTCTTCTTCTTCTTCTTCTTCTTCTTCTTCTTCTTCTTCTTCTTCTTCTTCTTCTTCTTCTTCTTCTTCTTCTTCTTCTTATTCTTTCTTCTTTTTCATCTGCTTCTTCTTCTGCTTCTTCTTTATCTGCTTCTTCTTCTGCTTCTTCTTTGTCTGCTTCTTCTTCTTCTTTGTCTGCTTCTTCTTCTTCTTCTTCTCCTCTTCTTCTCCTCTTCTTCTTCTTCTTCTTCTGGTTCTTTTTTTCTGGTTCTTCTTCTTCTGGTTCTTCTTCTTCTTCTTCTTCTTCTTCTTCTTCTTTCTGTTTTCGTTATGATCATTATGATTTAGTAGTCTTTTCTATTTTTTTATTTTTTTCCCTAACATTTTGGCTGATCACAAGATGCTTCTTAAAAGTCTATAATTATCAGATATGCCTTCCACAAATTCGTTGTGACATTGCTTCAAGCAATCACCATCTGTTCATCAGAGAAAGTTTGTTTCTCTACATTATTTCCTCGTATCTTGGCATTGTTCCCTATATTTTTCTCGATCTTATAATCTCCCATTCCCATGTTAACTACTGTAAAGTTGCGTCCACT